AAGAAACTCAACATGAGAAGAAGGGAAGGAATTCATCCAGTTATGATTTATAAGCACTCTATCAAGTTTCTTAGCAAGGTAGGTGCTTTGTTGTTTGTTACTCCAAGTAAAAGAAGGGCCAAAATAAGGGTGATCAATGAGGTCAAGTTCATTTAAAGTATCTTTGAAATCTTTCATGGCAGAAGAATTAAAAGGACCCAACAATTCAAAGTCATACCTTTCATTAGAGTTAAGGATTACATTAAAATCACCCCCAGGATCCAAGGATGATTACTAATTGTTCTATCCAAGTCATGAAGCTGCTGCCACATGATTCTTCTAGTTCTGTCATCATTATTGCCATACACAGTAGCAGTTATAATAGGAAGGCCAAGATGAAGACCTTTCATAGTTATGTTTTGTTCAGAGACATGAATAACAGAAAACTCTAAGTCTTTTCTCCATAAGAACCAAATTCTACCATTGAAGGAAAAGTCATAGTTGGTGCAATCATTCCAGTTATAAAACTTATTTCCAAGAATACTAGCAGACTTATCAGATTTAACTCTAGTCTCTAATAGATAAAAAACATCCAACTTATTTTGATTAGCTCTTCTAAGAACTATTTCTTGTTTGAGAGGACAGTTAAGTCCTCTAACATTCCAAAAGGCAAAGAGCATTGAGAAGAAGTGTCAAGGGAACCTCCACAACCATCAACTTCAACATTTTTAGCTTTATCAAGTTTTTATTTCTTCTTAAGTTTAAACTCTTTCACAATGCTAGCAACTCCTAAGGATGATGCTCTAATCTTTCTTTGTTGACCTTCAGGAGGAGCAAGAATGTCATCAATAGTACTAAGAACTGCAAATCTATTTTTAGATAAAAAATATCAGTTTTGTTCTTTTCTGGTCTTCCCCTACCCCTTTTAGGAATAGAAGGTTTTGAAGCATTAGTCCCCTCAGGAAGAGAGTCTACAGATTCAGAAATAGTAAGTTCTTTATCTATATTGGGTTTTTCCAATTCTTCAGGTTCTTGGGTTACTTCATCAGAGTCATTAGGCATATTATTAATTGCTTCCACTGCATTAGATATTTGCATTTCTTTTTCCATACTTGTAATTTAACAGATGTTGAGTTTTTTAGCACATTACAATTCTTGTCAGAGTGACAAAAAATATTGCATTTGCTACAACGAGAAGGGAGTCAGGGCACTTCAACCAGAACTGAAGTGGATTGCCCATCCTTAAGTATAACATCTACATATTTTGGGATAATGTCTTTAACTCCTAATTCAATGCAGATTTTAGCATACTCTAGGTGAGATTTAGCAGCAGTTACAGTATCCATAGACAAAGGAGATCCTATGGCACTAGCAATGTAGCTCAAACCAGTCCTTGAAAATAACTCGAGAGGGACATTGTAAAGGTGTACCCAAACAAAAATCTTAGAAAGATCAAAGGTGAGTCGTTTCATGTTAGACTCCCATTTTCTAAGGATTAAGGGTTTATTAAGTATGTGCCAAGGTCCATTCTCTATGACCCAATCTCTAGCAGATTCTGATTGAAAAGAAAAAACATATAGATTATTGCTAGTGAAGCTAACCTGTACTTTGCCTCATACCATAGCTTTCTTCCACATATTATCCACAAGACGTTGCATAACAGTAAAAGTTAGAGCAGCACCGAGGAATTGCACTACAAGAGAAAGATGTCATTATGAGATTCCTGCTTCATGCACCTCGGGAGGGGGATGGACAGTTGGGATCCCATCTCGAACCCTAGGGGGATAAAAATCCAGATTTTTCCCTGAAGAACCCCCAAATAATTTCCTCCAGTCCATCGCCATCACAAGAAAGAGTAGAACACTGCTAAGAACAGAAAGCGAAACCACCGAGAAATCTTCGAGGAGAAGAAAACGCCAGAGACACGACAAAGATTTTCTGATTTTCGTTAGCCCTCCTAATCGTTCCCCAACTCACATCATTTATAATCCCATGAATATGGAATTAGTGGATTTTTGGTCAAATTTTAACAACAAAAAAATCATCAAAACCCCAAATCAATCTAAGATTTCAAACAATTCATTGAAAGGGAAACTCACATTTTTCTTCTTAAGCTTGTCGTTTCCTTCAGAACCAGTGTTGCTTTATCCACTTATCAAATCAAAAGTTCCTTTAGCTTGTAAATTAGTGGCGGCGAAATCATGTTTCTCCAACATTCCACCAGCTCCGCTGTCAGGACCTACTTGTCAAACCCGATTAATCTTCCCAAAGCCATGAACTTTGAAGAAGAAGAAGTGTATAAAGGGGTTAAAGCTTGAAGCTTTGAAGGTCTTATCAATGATGTCAAAGTTTCAAATTTTCCTCTCAAGAATTGTGAGAGAAAAAGATGAAGCAAAAGCAGGGGTTAACTGTCATGTCAGTAAAAACTAAAGCAGGTAACGGAAGGGACCTTATTGAAAACTAGAAGTTTGATGACTGTATTGCAAATTTCAAAAGTGATGTGACCAAAATGTAAATGCCCTAAAAATTTGAGGACTATTTATATACTTTATGCTTATTTAAAATTTTAATATATAATTAGTTACGGGGGGTTTAAATAAAAAAACACGTGGAGCCTTTTCCTTGCACTAATCTACTGTCCACACCAGTTGTCCATTTTTTTCCCATAAAACCGAATGATGCCTGTAATTCTTCTCTGAACCCTTGGATATTTCCACCGCGAATCCAACGGCTGGTTAGCCGACGAGAGAGTTGGCTATGTGTTAGCTTCTTCAAGGGCTACTTTTAATGAGTCACAATAAGCGTAGCTAGTGCCCCAAAATGGAAGAGTCTGTCCACACTGCTTTATTTGATTTACTTATTCGATATTTTTTTGAGAAAAGACTATCTAATTATATTAATCAGTATATTATTTCATTTAATATTTATTTTAACTCCATACATATTATTGTCACTTATTAAAGAATTTATTCATATCTTCATCCTAATTTTGATACAGTTATAAAAAAATGGTTGTCCCTTGTTCCCATATGTAATGGGGTAAGGGGAGGTAAGATAGTAGGCTGCCCCTAACATTAGGTTGAGAGCAGCTTCCGTAGGAGACCTCCAAATTATGAAATGCCCTCCATGGGACTCGATCTCACGACCTCAAGGTTAAGAACCTTGTGCTCTACCAACTAAGCTGGATGGTCATTTCCAGTTATAAATGGCCATTAAAATTCTTAAATATGTGATGGTGTACTCATAAAAAATGTCAACTTTCAATATAATATTCAACATGTCTTAAAATTCACTAAAATATTTAATTCTGAAATGGAAAATGTCCTCAACGACCATTATGATATTGCCCAAATCTTCATTCGATAAAGAGATGCATAAAAAGAAACACGAGGATCCAAGCATTAAAAAATGCAGTCAAGATTGGATATTCTGTAAAATATATAAAAGAAGCATCCCTGTTTTATATTCTCCAAACCATTATAGTTAAAAGCAAGGACTGGCTTTACATTTAAATAAAACAGCTCTTATTTAACTCGATTTTAAAATGAAATAAATACGCCACTTGCCATCCCTTAGCTAAGAATAATTATGCAAATATTAGTTTGACTTTGTTTAATTAAATTATAGTAAATGCGAATATAAAACTTTAGTGGGTGTTGTACAGGATTTGATTCCTAACTTGTACAATCAATAAAATAATGATATTGTTAGCTTTTAAAAGGGTGTAAACTTACAAGGGAAATGAATTGTCGAGTATTGGGATAATAGTGGATGGGGGAAACAATTGATGGTGGCTTCGGAATAATAGTGGAACCCCTCCATTTGAGATGTGCACCAACATCAGTGGAAATATTCCACTCTCGGATGTACCTACTTATTTAGTGAAGAAAGCTACCCCAATTTTAATAACAGCTGTGAAATTCTCCTCATATGAAGCATTTACTCGACATACATGAAATCATGTCTATATATTTTAATTATTTGTTAAAGATCAAATGAATGCCCTCCCTCAGCTCTCGCTACACACTGGGATTTCAACAACTATGGGATATGAGTAGTCCTAGCCAAGGAATGTGCAAAACTGAAAATAAAATAAGCAACCATCTCAAAACCTACAATCGTCTTGCCATTCCCCATCTTTTAATGTCTTGCCTGAAGATCATGGTCCCAAGTGTAGCAACACAACCGACAGCAGCCTTGACAAGTCGCTTGCTTAACATTTTTCTCTCTGCTTTTTCCATTTCTACCGCCCAGTAGTTTGGGTTCTCCATTTTAACCACCACCAATTTGAAAAATGTCTAATCTTGGGACAAAATGATACCAGAAGAACCAAACAATTCATCTCCAGAATCAAGTAATGAACAAAGAGCAAGGAATAACATTGCAGGAAACGTATCTGCAGCTGTCCTTAAGACCCCCATTTTTTTTCTTTTTTGGCTCTAGTAAAGACACAAGCTCAGCCACTCCATTTTTATATTTTTTAACTCCACACCCACATTTTCACTCGCTTCCACTTGTAGCTTTATACAGTAACACAGAATCTGTTAAACCTGTTTAATAAATACACTCCTTTAGGTGGACAGTATTTCAGCACCGGAAGCTAAACTCACTCCCTTGTTAATATATAGTTTGGAATTGGATGCTTGACTTTTTTTTATTTAACATATGTACCCATAATTGTAGATGTCAATCTATGGATAAATTTATACAAAATTAAGACAGCTAACCATTAAGATTGATTCGACATAATGCTTTATTGTCACCTTAGTCTAGTACGAAGGAATGTTTCAGCTTTCAAGCTTATATCACCTTTGAGTTCCTTTTCCCAGTATGTAAACACTGTTTATATATGAGACTCAATTGGTTAATATAATCCACAATCTATTTTAGTCAGTCTTTGATATCAGCTCAAATAATGGTAACCAAGATAAAAAGAGGGGGGGGGGAATTTGAAGGCTCGCCTAAATTTATTAGAGTAAATTTATGCTTAATAATCGTAACCAAATTCTTCCATTACGTCATTGTCAACCTAAAATGGTTATGAACCATATATGAAAATTGGTACAATAGCATCCAAGATTTCTGTAAATAATGAAATCCTAGATATGTAACCCCCGACTTCTTCATTTCTTTTGATCATGGGATGATGAAATTATAAAGTAAAAGAAGCGAAAAAAATATGATTTTAACTAGAAAATGCAGCCAATTACTGCAAACTGCCATCTGCTATTTCAGCCCTCTTTTCCCCATTCCCTTCCTCATTTACTGAACCCTGCATGGACAATTCACGTTTCAGGCTGCCATCCCCGGCAACAGGTGAACTTGCCTCAGAATTGGCCATATTGGTGTCTTCTGGATCTTCCATTTCGTTACTGACTGGTACTTGCGAATCTTGCTCGTAGGTTTCTATTTCTTTTGAAATCGATAAATATTGCTGGTTCGCTTCAACCATCTTCGTATTTTCTGCCCCGCTCACAGTATCAGAACTTGTATTTTTTCCACAGCGGGGAACCTTATCCATATCAGAAGAACATGGCTGACTATTTGTCCAGTCCATGTTATCATTCCCCACATTTTCTCTCACAGCTATTGAATTATCCGTATCCCTATCTTCACCGTTTATTCTAATAATTTCTGAATCAATCTGAACATGCGACTCATTTCCGTTGAAGGAAAATTCCTTAGCAAGTGATGATGTTGACTTAGCCACATCGCCGTTCTCGTGTCCATGAACAGTATCTGTATTCATTCCAGCGGAAGACCCAACTTCAAGTCTACAAATATCTGAATGCAAACTACCGTTCATTGACAGGGACGCACGGCGACTAGAAGAACTAATGGGCTCTTTTCCAGGTACACGTTCAGTTTGTTCCTTTGAGCAATGCTCTGCTTCAACTTTCATTCCCGAGGTTCTAAGACATGATGGGCGTGGAGACACCCTGCACGAGAATAGGAAAATAGGATGCCTCTCATGTCACTAGTATAAAAGACTTAACACAGCCAAAAGACAAACTAGAATATTCATATGCTTTTACTTGGTTCCATCTAGGGACCTTTTACAGTTTTACCATTCATTATACTATAATATATTCATGACAAAACAAAGGGTCAGTCCTTGTATATCTTCGGTGACAGTTACTGAAGAGAAGGGTATATAAAGATGCTAAAATCTAATAATAAATGGAATTTTCTCTAACAGGTTAATTCACATCAAATCTCGGACTTTTACAAGGCATAACCTATACACATTATATGATTTACTTGATGGCAAACTGGTAATTTGACTAATTTCTTATAATTTGAACGGCTGAAAAGTAATAAAAGCTTTAAAGAGAGAAAGAGAGAGATTTGGCTTTTAACTGCAGGTATTTGGAGAGACCGTGAGGGAGGAAAAAGGTACCTGCTATACAAAAGCATATATGCTCCCTCAGAAAGTACCTCTTCCAGTTCAACCCTCGAAACCTGGAAAAAGAGGCAAAACCAAGTTAGGCTAAAAAACTGAAATTCAAATGGAATAGGCATGACGTACAAAATATCCCATGTTTTAATGATGATCAACATCTGGGGTTGAAATGGAGGCCTTGGAATCGCAGAGAGATTATTTTAATTGCCACAACACACAATATAAGGGAAATGAGAATGAGAGAGAGAGAGTCACCTTACAGTCATCAATTCTATACCAATTTCCAGCGAAATCTTTGGTATAGCAGATATAATGACCAAAAAATGATGCATTCAACATGTCCACATGGACAACTACTGCATAAAGTTTGTAAAGATTGGTATCATCTCCATCTTCACTCATGTAAGGGGTAAGATCTAATGTCTCAGGAAAGCTAACTCTTTTGTTGAGTTTTCCAAACCGGCCACTCTGCAAAGATTTTCAATAGCAATTCCAGATATCAATGAAGCAACAAAGCTTCAATTAACTAACTTACCAGTAAAAGGAAAAGAGACCAAGCATCCACCGCCAAGTCAAACAAATTAAACAAGCATTGAGGATGTAGGGTAAGACCTGAAATCTTTTCAAGGCAATTGTAAGAATGTTAGGAGCCCATCGTATGGTAAGGCGCTTCCATGCCTTAACATAGTCATTGCAGCTGAAATGAGAAACAAAATACAATAGTAACACTAGATCCCAAAATGAGAATAACCACATAGTTAGGCACTAAAAAACAAAATATACACACAGAATATGGCTAAAGTTCCTGGCTGTATAGTTTAAAACCATGCAAAGTAAACTATAACATCTTGAGATCAAAAGGAGAAGCAATCGTACCCATCGCATTTGTACATATTTTCTCCATGAAGACACTCTTTATCAGTGAACTGGTCAAGGCATTCCTCCAATGAAGAAGCATCTCCATGAATTTCAACAGTTAAATCCATCATATTTTCATACTGATTTGAAATCTTATTGCAATTGGTACAAATCACCTACAGGTTTTAATGCAATGATAAGTATTACACATTAGAGTACAAATTCGAGCATTTTAAAACACCAAGCAAGGTGATATATATAAAAACATTACAGCCTAATCAACTGAAATCACTTTTAATTGATCAGAGATTTGACTACCAAGAAAATGCTTACTTAGATAAGGAGAAATACTCTTAATTTTACAAAAACCTGGGTATTCCATTTTGGGAGGAAACTAAACTAAGAAGAAAACTGAAGAACAAGAAAAATTCAGAACATTTCTTCACTAATAGGATCCAGGGACACTGTATTTTATCAATGGTGAATAGCCAAAGTTAAATTGGAAAAGAGAAAAGAAAAGTTGAAATGAGATGTATCACTTGAGACTGTAGATGACCGCCAAATATATGCTGAATAAGGGTTGTCTCTTGCGAGCTGCGCTCAACAGCTTTTTCTCCACCGAATTCTTCAAGGCAAATTGATTGCATCGTGTCAATAGCAAACCTGAAAAATGAATGGTAAAAAGAAGGAAAGAAAAAACCTAGTGCTCCGGAATTTCCTCAAGAAAAAACCTGAAAAATGAATGGTAAAAAGAAGGAAAGAAAATGCAATCGCATAAAAATGATACTGACCTCATGAATTCATGTGCATCCTCCTGTCTTCCATAACCAAGATTACCTCCAATATTAGGCAGTCGTGACAGAATATTAACTGGTGAAAATGGATGCGAACTCTGAATTGATCTTTCGACGTGAGTTTGAAATTCACACAGAAAGCACCAATCATTGCGTCTGCCTGGAAAACAGAAAAAACAAAGTAAAGTTAGATACTGTTCAAGAAACTAGAGATGAGAACCTACGAGATCTAGTTTCTCAATTCACATTCTTTTCGATGGCCTTTCTCCAACAAGTAAGCAACAAGTGGTCGAGTGGATACAAGGCACTGCAAAACCACATTGGCAAAGCAACTGCAGAAACAAACAGGAAAAGGTAAATCAAATAGAGGAAGGAACAGAAACTTATCTTGTTTAATCATATGTAAAAAAGGTTCAACTAAAAGAACCAATAAGCATGATAAGCATGAACCTGTTTCCACAATTTAAGAGTCCACATGGAGGAAATCCTGATTTCTCCCAGTTGAAGATCTTTACAAACTCATCATAAGGGAAAAGAACCTAGAAATTTTGAATATTAGTTTCAAATTTACTTAAATTGGTTTTTCCAAAGGGTCAAAAGGTTAACCTTTCTTGGTTTCTTGATAATCTTAGAGGTTCCACTGACAGGAACCAGGGCAACTCCTGAAGATGGTTTTGTGCTTGTAGTCTGTGTAGAATTCACTTTGCACTTTGTCTTATGGACCTTCCAGTGTGCCTGTTGGCAAGCTTGGGAGCTGAACAGGAAAGCAATCATAAGACTAAACCATCCATATGATAGAAGAATTATGAACCAACCGTAAATGAACTTTAACGATGATAAAATCATTGTCCATTGACATGTTAACTGAGAATCCTTGTTTTCTAATATCAGACAGAAAACACAAAGCTTTTAAAGTCAAGGAGCTATTGGCACAAGAGGCTTTTTGTTAACTCATGCAAAAATATGGCAACAACTTAGGCATTTGCTCGCACAATTGAGTGATGGAGTGATCAAAATTTCAACACGGAACTTGCTGGGCTTCTAATTTATATATTAAGCACAACGGCACGTTTATAAAGAAATAGAAAATCAATCAAAAAAAATTACAATGAAAATTCCTGGAAACCGTTCTTATATCGACAGCAAAAACACTTCTTTCTAAACTATAAATCATAGAATTCCAAAAAAAAAAAAAAGCGAATTGAAGTGAAGTGAAGTGAGAAAACCAAAACATGCAACTAAAATAGATAAAGAAAAACCACAAGATTTCAATTAAAAGCACTTAAGCTAGAGTGAAAACAGAATCAAGAAACGTTACCAGTACACAACAGCTAGAGAAACTCTGAAACCTGCAGTTAATAATCACTAGGACGCTTACGAGTACTAATAACATAAAAAAAGAAATACTTTATTTTTTTTACTTTTCGAGAATCCCGAGAAGCTAAAGAAACAGCTGAAACAATGATGAAAAACAGTAATAACCGCCCCAACAAGCAATCAAGTAGGAGGATCACAGAAGCGAATAAAATATTGTAGAAAGAAAAATAAGAAAACGTACCAATAACGAGCAGTTTTGCAACGAGAGCAGACCTTGGGGGCGGGGTTGGAGCAGACTTCGCAAGGGAAGACGTCGGTGTCCATGGGGATGGAAGGCATTGTTTGGTCACGATCGAAATTGGCGTCGACCTCGAAGTGTTTCGACGCCTGGTTCTTCAGCAAGTGGAGAGCCCCAAATACGAAAATGAAGAGCGTCAAGATTAATTGCAGGAACCAATTAAGATCTAACGTTATTCCGCCGACATGCATCTACTCAGGCTTCTGGGTCTCGATTATAGGGTTTTTCTTCATCGATTTTCTTTTTCCTTTTGGCACCACTCTCTGACAGTTCCTCCCTTTACCAATTTTATCAATATTAATTACTCTCTTACTCTGGAAACCTCCAAACCCAAAATTAGCGATGCCTTCTCCTATTTAACAGGAATATACGCATGTATAATTCTTTAAATTTTTTTCATCCGTCTTTGTCGATCATTTAAATATTGAATAACTACTTAAAATAAGAATACATTATTAGAAAACAAATATAAATTACTACTGTTATTATGTGATTGAGACAAATGCATAAGTCCTGTAAAAAGAAAACATTTGTATACAAGTCATCGATTGCCCCAAAATTATCATTTGCATGAATGTGTGGGGGTTAGACTAATTGTGTGTGATTAGTTGATTTATTAATCTTATGTCATATATTAATGTTTAAGCTGAAAACCATTTGAAATACCAATTTGTGATGTTTGATGTTATGTTAATAGGAATATTGTAAGTCGTTAAGTTTCTTAAGTTTAAAGCTTGGTTTGTAACATGGAAAGATGTAAAGCCATTTTGAATTGTAGAGAACGATTCTTGTGATAATTGGAGAAATTAGAAGGAAAATATTGGGAAAAGAAGGGGGCAAAGAATCGGTTGGGGTTTAGGACAAGGCATGCATAGCTAATAACAAGGGCAATTTTGGCAAAACAAACTCATATGTATAATGAGTTCTAATAAAATATATATTTTTTTTATTAAAACTTATCATTGTGACATGATAAAATTTAATAAAAAATTAGATTTTATTGGAACTTGTCACTTTGACAGACGAGTTTGAATAAAAAATATTATTTGAGCAAGCTCGTAATGTGAGCGTAATGAGTTTACCTTATACTATAATATTTGTCGTAGATCCTAAATTAATTTTGAAGATGACCCGGTGATCTAAATTTTTTTTTACTCGCATGGCCTTTTGGGTCGATTTCGCCAGTAACAATACCCCGATCACCCCGCATAAATACAATTGGGCTTAGCTATCCCAAACAAGGAGGAAAGTAACTAAGAAAAGGGCCAAGTATTCAGCCCACTTAAGAATAGCTGTAGACCTAATTAATTTGAAGTCTGTGCAGAAACAGTATGATCCAATTCAATGCAACTACCTGATACCTTGCGGGCATTGCTGTCCACGCAAGCTCACCTGTCCAGGAGTTTGTGCTTCGTAAATAAACAAGGCTCCAATCCCACAACAAAAGAAATCGTTTTCATTTGTTTTTAAACTCTATGAACCTCGGGGGTTGAACAAGCTCCAATGAAACACGTCCATCTGTTTTTTTACTGCTATTTTAATATATAACCGATACAATTACCACTAGCTAGGAGCCACGTAGCAAGAGGAACGTAATCCATGCATATTGCTCGCGACATTTACCTTGCTATATTAAAAGGGCTACCCGTTTTTAAAATACAATTTTAAATTAATTTGTTATGAGTTAATAATGTCAAATTTAAAAATTTGAATCAAAATTGAAAAAGTATAGAAAATAGCATTGTTATGTATATGTATGCATGTTTATAAAATAAGGTATTAAAGTGGATATAATTGCAATGGAGGGGCCGAGGGCGCACATGGATGAGCTCAAAGTTAATTGTAGAATAGTAAAATGGGCAACAACATATATAGTTTTATATTGCATGTATAATCATCTGCTCTCGATGATAATAATATTAAAATCCAAATCATAAGATACATCAGTTTTATAAATTCAACACAAGTTGAAGAAAGGGGGAGTGTATCACATTAATCAACAATCTGTTTATGATTAAACTAATCCGTGTATTAAGTAATTAATGGAAGGCCACATAATATAATTAAGCTGAGAATATCAGGTAAATTACACGGGGCAATGCTGCAGCAATTGAGATTTTCGACTTGAAAAAGAGGTGCACAATAATGACATTAACTGATGGCTACACCTTGCATGTTGTAAATTTAGAATGTTGATGTTGAAATGGCTGTGCTCCTTGCCATTGAGTTCAATTATTTTTTAATTAAATTAAAGCATCTAATCAGATACAAATCAGAGTGGAAAATGTGCTGGCAAACTGCCTTCTTCTGTCTTGCTTCCCATGGCTCATAGCCCCGCTCTTCCACTCACCAAACAATATATATTACATCAACCGTTATCTCCTAGTACTAGATCGGTCTCAATGACATAATATGATCATCGACCGATAGGCTATACAATTACCTGGCAAAGCAAATACACGTTTGGTACTTAGCTGTACCATTGCAAACAGAACACCCATTCCTTTATTTTATTGACATGTTGATTTCTTATAGTTTTGCTTGCTTAAGAATCATAAACATGCATGATTAGGAGGGCTTCACTTCACCAAATTGCTGGACTTGTTTATAAATTAATTATTTGTTCTAGTTATTAAACCAATCAAACTTAGTCTCAAATATTAAATTCAAACTCATGATGCTATCAAAGATTACTGACATGTAAAACATTTTTTTTATTTTTGGTATGCAATTTTACTTTACAACGTTCTACAATGCTCACAAACTTTTACAGATCCAATGTTACAGTGATACTGATTAGTGATTAAATTATACATTATTTTATGATCAATTACTCCTTGATTAGTTATTTTAAGTTGTTAACTTGAGTCTTTTCGTTCATTTTCAATGCAGGACAATAGATTCTAGAAATGTTGCTAAAATTGATGAAATTGTGCAATTTTTCATTTTCTGCATTCATGGCCGAATTAGTGGTCATGACTTTGAGCATGACGTCGCTAGTCAGCAGCTTCTAGAAGGTCCAATTAGCAGATTGTGTGGAGAATGAGACTTAGCCGTATTTTTCAAATTCAAATTAGGATTTATTTTATTTTTAATTTTTAGTAATTATCTCTTTCATTTTAAATGTAATTTCTTAGGGTTTTTAGAAGGCTATAAATACCCCGATAAGCCTAAATGAATCATCATTTCTTTCTTTCTTTAGTTGAATAAAAATTCTTTTCTTTTCTTTTCATTTTTCTTTAATTTTCTTTCAAGTCGAGGGCTAAAGCGATGACTCAATTCCAACGTGGGAATTGAAAAGTACTTGAATAACTTCGGAATATCTCTCTCAATCTATGCGCTTATTTTCAAAATCAAAACAGTTTTCAAAATCAAAGATTGACTTTGATCAAGATTTTATTGCGATTAAACGTGTAAGAGGAAAAATCGACTTATTGAAAGCACATTCGACTTCTTGGGAACACACTTGGCAAGATTGCCTTGCTAAGAGGGAATTGAGATTGGAATTAGTAATTATTGAAACAACAATTCGAGTCGGTATTCACGAACATAAACGTTATTGATCTACGACAATTGATGTTGATCAGATCAAATTTTGAAGTCGGGATCAAGGATTACCTTGAGTATTCGATATACAAAGAAGAGTCTCGAGGATTGTCCTTGTAGACAAAGTAACTAATGTGAATCTCGAAGGGAAAATCTAATTCGATGATCCGAAGGAAATTGAGTCAAAGCGAAAGCCTAAGGTTGATTTTATCATATTGAATATTCTTTTAAACTTTCTTTTTAAATTTCTTTGAAATCTTTTTATTTTTCTTCTTATATTATATTATATTTATCTTTATCTATAAATCCCCACCATTACTCAAATTCTACTCCATCCACTTCTTGGCTCAAAGATTAAACAAAGCACGAATAAGTCAGGAAGTTTCCTTAGTCTTTGTGGGATCGACCCTTACTTATCTTTTACTACGTTAAATTTCTTTTATTTATTAATTAAGAAGAATGAATTATTTTGACGCGAAAAGCGACGAGCGTCAAATTGACATCGTTATCGGGGACTAACGGCGAGTTACTGATTTCTTTATTTCTTTGTTTTTAATTTATGATCAGGAATTGGAAGAAGCATTTATCTCAGAGCATATAGTCTGAATCAGGTCGTCGAGCTAACGACGTTAAAAATAGTGATTTATGGGAAGCAACCCATTTCGTTTTCTTTTAATTCGTTTCTTTTAATTCATTTTCAATTTCTAGTTTTCAATTTTCGTTTGTTTATTTTACGTTTTTTATCTTTAATTTGAATTTTATAGGTACCCCGATCATTTTAATTCAACTGCGGATGAAGACAAGGCAAAAAATTGTTTCAATTAAAGCAGGAGTCGGTCGAATTTAACCCTAAACCCTATTCGAAATAGTATAGAATCAAACAAAATAGTCCAAAATTTTACCATATTCAAAAAAATAGAAAAAATAGGGCAATTTGGTTCAAACAATACAGTTTTAATTCGAGTGAGTAGAAAATCCAGTTCAAATTGTTTTTTGGTTCAAACAGAAAAAAAGAAAAAGAAAAAATAGAATGTTTAGAAAAAGAAAAAAGGAAAAAAAAAGGAAAAAATGAATGAATAAAGTTTTGTTTCGTATTCCTTTCATTTTTACCTTCCTTTGAATAAATTTTTGAAATGATCTCTACTTTGTCTTGAATTTTTGAAACCCTATTTTTGGCTTTTATCATACCCAAACCTTAGCCCCATTACAACCCGTTTTGAAGTCCTCTTGATTAATGCATCATTTTCATACTAAGTAGTGGAGATTAGATTTAATTACAAGCCCATGACAATGTGTTGATTAGTTTAGGCTTGAGCGATTCTCTCACCCAAAACACTTGAGGGAAATAAGTGAACTCATGTGAAGAACTAAATCTTGAATTCTTTGAAATTGATGGATGATTGAAATGCCTTGGTTGATTTACACTTAATTGGTTATGTCTTGCTTGATTGATCTTGAATTTTGACATTTGCTTGATTGAGTTTGCTTAGAAATCTTGGAAATTCTATGAAATTGGAGTTGGCAACTTGAGATTTTTTGCATGATAATTGAGAAATACTTGAGGACAAGCATTAAATAAGTGAGGGGGAATTTGATTAGTGCTTAAATTATATATTATTTTATGATCAATTACTCCTTGACTATTTTAAGTTGCTAACTTGGCCATTTTCGTTCATTTTCAATGCAGAACAATATATTCCAAAAATATTGCTAAAACTGATGAAGTTGTGCAATTTTTTATTTTCTGGATTCATGACTGAATTAG